AAACTGGCTAAAACGTTCTTACTGGATTTTGTTTCACTTGTCCTAATAAGAATTGCAGGAACAAAAGGAAAGCCTAAGAATATGAAACTAATTAAAAAGAAAAGGCGTTTAGTGATATGACATAAATACTATGCTACTCTTTGTGAGTGTAACAATTCATTTCTTAAATCGCACTGTGCCTTCTAATGATGTCAAACCATAGAAATGTTACAGAGATAGTAGTTTTTTGGAAAAGGATGATTTCTGTATTGGTGTGCAGTGACTCAGTTTAGATAAGAAAGTAGGTTCTGAAAAGTGACCTGTTTCGTCCATCTGATTAGACTAGTTGATGTCCATGTGATGGGCATTTATTCACCTTTATTAGCAAGGTTTAAAAGATGAACAAATTATCAAGACTCCTCCATCTTTTGGCCAGACTATGTATTTTGGCAGAGTATGTGAAGAGGAGACCCAATTTCCAAATGAAGGAACTTTGTCTTTTCTCTGTCATGTTGAGAAGCTGATAAACGGTGTAGCTGACATTCCTTCCCTTAATATGCCTTTTTAGCTTTGTATATGTTGAAAGAAATAATATCTTTTGAGGAACATGTGTCAAGCAGAAACCTTGGCATGTATTTGGTTTCAGTGGTTTTAAGGCTTAATTAATGAAATACCTTTATCAGCTTTCCAAACTTTTTTATATATGAATACAACAGACTAAGGAGCTGGATCTCCTGCTATACTCACATGCCTGCTACCTATCAACTAAAGCTATCATCACTGACTTGGGAAAAATGGCAAAAGATAAAATAAAATCTTTGTGTGAATTAACCACTAGGGCCTGACACATGCTAACAAGGTTTCTGACTAGCACCTCAGTATTTCAGCACCTTAAGCACGATAAATTTCAATCAGTCAACAATAAAGTGAGTGTTTCAACTGGACTTGTCTTGCTTGTTTTTACTGTTTTATTGGTGATCAATAGAAACCTCAGTTGTCATGACTATTATTAATAATAGCAAAATTTTAAAGAGAATGTATTCTGTTTTTCAAAGAATCTAACTTTAAAAAAAGTGTCAGTTTTTGTTTTTTGTTTTTTTTCATTTGCAATTGAACAAGAGATTGAACAGAGATTGAATCTTTAAAATGCTGTTAGGGATAAGGACAATTCTTGGACATGTTTATAGAAACCTGTTTTTTTTTTTTTTTTTTTTTTTTTAGGAAAAGGATGAATAGTCTTCAGTAGCTTTAGTCAATCCAGATGTGGAAATAGACCCTGAAGGATGATCACTCTCATGGATAGGATTAGGTAGAGTAGACGTCAGTGAGATGGGCATTTCATTACCACAGAAATGACATCTTTATGTCATCCCTTGGAAGTTGTGATCTATCAACCCCTGCGGGATAGGCCAGAGATCTCTTGCTTGTCAATTCTGGTGACCTAGTAAACACAGTATATCAGGGAAGTAAACTATATAGGGCTGTTTGGTTGGATACTGAGTATCTCACGGGATACCCAGGTTCATGAAACATATTATCATCATTCCTAGATCTTGCGGTTTCCTCAAGAGAGGGCAACCAAATCTATATTTTTTTCCTTCTTTCACCTAAGTGTGTATATTAACTCTTAGGTTTGTTTAGGTCTCTTAACTCCTTTGCAAGTTTCAAGCAGGAACAGGTGAGGCAAAGTCCATTGGTAGGTCACTTTTTGTTTAAAGATGTTTTTGCCTCTATCAAATATGTAGTAATGTATATTTTACATTATTTATGCTATGCTATTACGCAATATATATAAAATTAAAAATACTAAACCACAGGAGATTTTAAAAAATTCTTTTGAAAAAAGTTGTAAAGGTTATAGTTGCATTGTGTTCTTAAGGTCCAACCAATAAAGAAAATGTGCTAAATTAAGAATTTATTTTAGAGCTTATTTCTCTGCTCTATGTCAGTTATTAGGCCAAAATGCCAAAATTATTCCCATAAACCTTCTTTAGGGAAAAAATGCTCAAGATAAAGAAAGCACTCATACTTTTTTGCTCTAGAGGCATTATGTCATTGTTTTATAACCTACAATGCAATTATTGTTATCCACATTTTACAGATGATCAATTTGTATGCTCTCATTTGTACAATTAAAACGTTTTTTAATCTTCTGTGCTTCTTACCACAACTAAAATTTAAGTGTAAAAACAGTTTAAGTGTATACTTCAGTAGTGTTAACCACATTCACATTGTTGTACATTTATACGGTTTGGAGAGATTATTGGCAATAGGTAAAAAATAAAGTGTCTGGACACAGTCGAATGTAATCTGGTAAATTTGAAAATTCAAATTTTAGAAACATATATTAGAAACTTTTGTATTCTAATGACAAGGTAACTAAAAAAGTTCATGATTGTGGTCGTTGGCCAAGAATTGGTTTTCTTTTTGCCTTACACGCTTCTCATGAAGCATATATATTTTACCCCTTTGCTTATATTTATGACATAGACTTACTTGCAATCTTACATTGAGGGCATAGGTGTGATCCATAGTATTATTTCACTCTCCAAAGATGTGAGCAGAAAGTAATAGGTTCCAGACTCTGATATCAACCTGATCTAAAAGCTCCATACAGGCACAGTTTAGAAAAAGAGCTACTGGATTTAAATAAGTAAAAGCTGAAGAAAAACTATGTGTAAAATGGACAGGTTCTTGCCAGGGTAGCAGACCTGAGACAGCAATAAGGACTACAGCACTGGATCACTTTATTCTAGCATTGTGCCTTTTATAGACACTAAAACCTGAAAAGAGCAGAAACCCCTTTGAAATTATATTTGTAAAATCTTGTGTCCGCTCTTTCACGTTCTGGGTTTTCATTATTTTATTCTCTTTATTTCCTCATACCACCATTTGTGTTCTCTTGGGTGCAGAACCTGCTTAGATATCTGTTTGAGTGGACTTGATTTACATGTGGTAGCTTGCTTACCCAGAGAAAGTTATTGAGCATTGAACTGGATGCAGTTTGGCTGTGGCTCAATAGAGGGAGTAGAGGAGCTGAGAGAGCAGAGAGAGCAAAAGAACGTGTCTGGCACAGTAACTGCGCGCCCTGAAGCCCTGGCCCTAGCAGCCAGCCAGGAGGAGGGGTGGGGCGGGGCAGGGCAGGGGGGGGTGGGGTGGTGTTGGTTGCCTCTAGCTGCTCCACCCTCACTTTGTGTCAGCAGGTAGAGAGCGTGATTGCAGTCCCAGGGGAGGGAGTCAGAGCTAGAACACCAATTACAAACCACAGGCTTCCTCCTCTAGGGAGTTGATCCAGAATTGTCTTTCTGGAAGGGAAGCACTTGAATCTTTCCGAACTTTCCAAGCCCATCCATGATTCAGAGATACTGCTTTCTCCCTCTGGGATTTTCTGTGTTCCTGGTAGTGAATTGTTGCTGGTGTATTTGCTACTTTGCTCCTTTTCTCTCTCAAGATTTGATCATTTTATATGCTGTTCGGGGAGAAAAAGAACTTTTGTTAGGAGATTTCAGAAATGATTTTGGATCCTCTATAAGTGCTCTTTAGAATTCTTGGGAACAGTAGCTCTAAGCCTGGAGTAAATGTTTGCCTTTGACCTGCATGGATTATTTTTTCAGGCTGCGGAATTTCTCGGCACCTACCTGCAGTGTGGGGCCCTTGGTCTGGTTGCAGAGTAAGAAGGTGGAAGAATGAGCTGTACTTGGTTAAGCAGTTGAAACCTTTTTTGAGCAGGACCTATAAAAGCATAATTGAATTTGTTTCACCCCCGTGGATTCCGGTGGGCCCGACAGCGCAACAGGTTTGCAGATTTCTTTTGAAATTCTTATTTTTCTCCCTCTGCCTCAGCAAAAGAGAAGGATCTATATAACAGGTTCATGTTCAATTGCTTGACTTTTTAGCACTTATTCCGAAGACTTTATAAGATTTTTTTTTAACTTGACCTCTGAACACGGCGGGCTTTGTGGTTGAAGTGCATTTATATTTACTTAGGGGTGCACATTTTAATATCTTAGAACTAAGATTTTGTTTGTACAAAGACCCAAATTCTCAAGTGTGCCTAGAAATAGCACAGATCTACTATACTCAGGCTTATTTTTACTTTTTCAGGATGTTCTACTTAGAGCCTGTACACTAATCACCTCCCTACTCCCCCTATCTTTTATTCCCCACCCCCTCAAGGAATTTGAAAACGTGTTAGGAATAGTCCTTTGTTTTACTTAAGAACGCAGAAAATTACAGATTATAAAATCTGGATAATAAAGTAGTTTCCAGAAGCATCTCATGGGAAATCAAAGCGCTTGGCATTCTCAAGCAGGAGAGTAAAAGCTGGAATCCCCAGGAGAGAACGGAACATAAAGATAGAAATATCATTTAACTGGGAAAAATAATTGGAAAGCTAACCTTTTCAAATACTCTTCTAATTTTGAAAGTTGGAAAAGGAGGTGATACTCAGGATTATCCTGTAATCTGTGAAGACATAAATTAGCATCTAATTTATAGGCAAATTTAGGTAGAACATTAAAAATGACAGTATATTTAACTTCATGGAAAGTGTTATAAATTCAGTGGGCCTAGAACTTTGGCTGCACTAAAATACAGTTTAATGTGGAAACTTTTGTGAATACATGTTGTAGCATCTTTGGACGTCTCTCAAGGTGTGGCCTGAAGTATCGTACCCTCTCCTCCATTAAAAACAACAACAACAACAACATTTTTTTTTCTGTGATCTTTTGTCTTTTACCATTGACAAATTTTGTGGCTTAAAGAGGACCATCTCTTCATTTTCCGAGCTGGCGTTTTTCACTCTCACCTTTGATGCATGGCTTTTGTTACTTACTTTGCCTTGCTTTGTTCATTAACATTGGGTTTAATGGTTCAGCAACTTGATGCATATGGAAGACCAGCACCGAGTGAACTGACATACTAAAGATTCGGGATGTGACATTCCACCTCAAGCAAAGTTGGAAATTCCAAAGAGAAGTGGTGATACCTTTACTAATCACAGTGAAGATGGGAGGAAATGACAGACCTGCAGCAGAAGTGGGCTGAAAACACCCTCTGCCCTGACAGATCAGGAATGCCACCTGTTCTTGGGAATATACTTTAGAGAAAGGAAGGGCCAAAACTACGACTTCGCTTTCCGAAACCGAAGCATCAATTCTCTTTTCTTCCATTTGTCTGGATCTGAGAAGCTGTGTTTGGAATTGGCTCGTGGAAGCAGTATGTCTGGCCGAAGTGCATTGCTGCAGCTGGTAGCATGAGTGGTGGCCACCAGCTGCAGCTGGCTGCCCTCTGGCCCTGGCTGCTGATGGCTACCCTGCAGGCAGGCTTCGGACGCACAGGACTGGTACTGGGAGCAGCGGTGGAGTCGGAAAGATCAGCAGAGCAGAAAGCTATTATCCGAGTGATCCCCTTGAAAATGGACCCCACAGGAAAACTGAATCTCACTTTGGAAGGTGTTTTTGCTGGTGTTGCTGAAATAACTCCAGCAGAAGGAAAATTAATGCAGGTAAGGATAATTTATATTTCACTTTCCATCTGTTCGAACTATGCTTTTCTTCTTTTGTCTCTCAAACCAAATACCGTACAAGAGCTTCTGCTGTTTAGTTTTCTGTTTGTTTCCTCTTTTAAGGATGTTGCCTTATTGGCATTCTAAAACAAATCCTTATTTCTGCTAAAGAAAAAACATATAAGATTCCACATTTTAGAAGATCATCTGCTTATTTTTAACTCTGCGATCACATTGCCTTTTTAGATCCACATAATAAGGCCATTCTTTGCAAGTGATGTATTCTGGACACTATTTTTTGATATATTAAATATATGTGGACTTGTATGTAATTGACATGAGGATCATACTTTATAACCTGTTTAAATTTGAAGTGAACACTGAAGAGGTTGATTTTTTTTTTTATTGAGGTTAAATTGGTTTACAACATTATTCAGTTTTAGGTTTACAACATAATTTGATATTGTATGCATTACAAAGTGATCACCACAGTAAGTCTAGTTACCATCTGTTACCATACAATTGTGAGGAGGTTACAGTGGTCAGCAGCACCCTGAAATTCTAGAATGTCCTTGGAGCATATTTGATCACTGTGTCACTTTTAAAATTCAGTCAAGCTTGAATGCCATGGCTGGCTTCATACCACGTGTAGCACCCTATTGCTAAGCCCAAAATGGAGAGGACTGCATTACAAAATGGACACAAGGTAGAAACTTGCCTCCTTTGGTCTTGTCTACACATAATTTTATTTTTGAAAAAAATTTAATTTACCTTTTTTATTGACCCTCAAAGCTTTTCAGACAGTTTCTTAGGCTTTCAGGTTGTGAATTTTGTCTATAATTCATTCATAGCCTACTCTTTATGTATTGAATTTATGAACTGACTGGGGCCATAGCTCTTCATAGATTAATTGCTCATTCCCCATGGTGAAGATAGAGCCCAAAGGGCTGTACTTTTTTACTGTGGCATTCTAGTGTGTTATTCCATAGAATTATGTTCCTTATTGATTAAAATTCATTTTATAAAAGGGCACTTCTTGCTGTAGCTCTTGGGCATAGGTTACAATGTTATTAAATATGATTTACTTCAGCATCCAGCCTCAGATTTTAATTGTGTGATATGAACAGAACCAAAGTATTGTATGAATTCAAATTTTTGTCTACTTAAAGATGAGAAAATTTGACAAATTATAGAACTCTTCCAAACATGCATTTTTACGTATATGATTTTGTGGTTCTTCATGATCACTTTTTAGGCAGTATTTTGAAACCGGGATGAATGATGTGGAAGGAGAATTAGATGAAATGAAGGACTTGGCTATTCAGAATAATAAACAGACAAAAAGAATGTATCTGGAAAAAATGGAAAAAGAATTTTTGGATCAGAGTCTATTTATTCATTTAATCTGAGCTCTAGGATGGAATTAGGAATATTTAAGAGTTGAAATCACAAATAATTTGGACTGTAACTGGAAAGGAAACTTTCTTGCTGACCTTGCCTAGTTGATACCCTGAAGTGTGAGGTATATGCTCCATTTTCATTTTTTTCCATAAGTAATTTTACTATAAAACCATATTTTGATATCTCCGAGGTCTTTGGGAGCCATACGAGCTTTGTGTCTTATTAATGTCCTGTGGCAGCATCAGTGGGTTAATTATATGCTGCATAAAATAGAGTCTCTTTTATTTTAAATGTGTTGTCTTCTGTTATCATAAACCTCTGTGTATCCATAAAGGAAAAGGCATATAACAGAGACTAGCTGGCATTCTCTTTGCCATTCATTATTTTACCTGTCTTGATCATATCTTTGCTTATTCTACCCTTTTTCTTACTCTGGTAAATCCTGCTAATCTTTTTTTTTTTTTTTAGCTATTGACTTTTTAAAATGTTTCTTTACTTTGTGAGGAGGAATTTCATCGTATCTATTATTAGCAAGGCCTTGCATATTGTATTATAGGGTAGGTTTGCGTTCATTGGCAATTTTTAGTCTTCCTTCACTTTTTGTGTTCACATAAGCTTCTTTTAGGTCATTAATAAATTTGTACACTAGCCTAATAATTGCTGGAGACTGTCAGTATTGGTCCTAGTTTATTGCCTATTAATCAATTTTTAATCCACAAAGCTACCAAATTGTCTTAATAGCCTCTTATGAGAGACTTTATTTTAAAAATACGAAAACAACCTTTTGAATGATATGCACCAGTTCTTCTTTATCTACTATTTGATTAATTCTTTCAAAGAACTCTAATGTGTTAGGGACACATGGTTTACACTTCTAGAATCCATGCTGTTTGTTCCTTATCAGATTACAGTGCAGCTCAGGTTTACTCAACTGTGGTTAACCAAGCCTTCCATGTAACTGCAGTTTATATCCCTTAGAGTTGTGCTTTGCTGCATTTCAGCTTGCTTGATTGATAGCTGTACCCTGGTGTCACAGATCTGAAGGCAGTCTTCTCTATTGGTCTTGAGGAATTTTATTTTTTATTTTATTTTTATTTTTTTTAAGATTTATTTATTTGAGAGAGCGAGAATGAGAGAGAGAGAGAGAGAGTACATGAGAGGGGGGAGGATCAGAGGGAGAAGCAGACTCCTCGCTGAGCAGGGAGCCCGATGCGGGACTCGATCCAGGGACTCCAGGATCATGACCTGAGCCGAAGGCAGTCATTCAACCAACTGAGCCACCCAGGTGCCCCTGGTCTTGAGGAATTTTAGACAATTCTCCGTATCCTTTTGCCTACGAATTACTCTAGCTGCCAGTTAAGTTTGTCTCCAAAGATGTAGTCAGGCCTTTGTAAAATTGGCGATGCTCTGCACTGGCAAATGTAAAGGTACAAGAACAGTGATTTAAAAAAAAAAAAATAGTAACCTTGTTGTGGTTTCTGGAATTCCCAGAGAGTTTCAGAAAATTTGATATTTCTTTACATTTTGTTCAATTAGTCCATGTCAAGGAAACTTTCCAGATCTCCTAACTCCTTGTCTGTGTCCGATAAAAAGGACTAAATGATAGTGATTATAACTTCTTACTGTTTTTATTTTTCATTTGAATATATTTTTTTTCTCCTGGTTTCTGCCATTGTAGATGGAAAATATGCTAGAGCTTATGCACTATCTAACTGTCCAGTTTTCTGGTTTATTTACCTCTTGTCAATGTTTGTTTCTATTATTTCTAGTAATGTTGCTGCTGCCACTTCCGTAAATGATTACAGTCCTATTTTCTTTTTCAATTCTTGTTCCTTATTTATAAATGTCATTCAACAGGACAACTCAAAATCAATCTTTTTTCTCGAAGCAAAAGAGTGAGATGATCGTAGCTTTGCACAAGAGAGGTCAACAGTTCTTTGACCGTCACACTCTTCCTGCTTAGCGGATTGTCCTGGATTTTCTTAGACTCTAGGATAAAGTAGGATCAAGATTAGGATGTATTGTCCTGAGGCTTCAGACCTACAGTGGCAACTGTGGTGGTTTAGCATTTGGCCACTAACAGCGAACACCTCCTGGACAAATTCCCCCTCATGCAGTGTCTCTGCTTGCCCCTTAATTTACCTATTAGTCAACACATAGCTGTCTTCTCTTTGCATTTTTGCTTTATTTGTAGTCAGGGCCTGAAATGAATTACTTGAGGAGGGAGAGAAATCTTTATAATTAAAGATTTGGCCAAAGCCAGAGAGATAATGCTTTAGCAAACTGTAGTTGACGAAGTGACTACACTGTGACTTGAGGGGCTTGACTTTTAGCTTTGAATCTGTCACTACGCAGTATGGTGATTCGGGACAAAATGATTTTTATCTTTCTAGGCTTCAGACTCCCCATCTGTAAAAATGAGAGATTCAAATATAATAGTGCATTGCAAACTTGTGCTGTTCACTTCACATGTATTAGCTCATTGCATCCTCATAATAACTCTGTGAGAGAAGTACAGTACTTTTATTCTTCACATTTTACAGATAAGCAAACTGAGACTGAAAGTGTTATATCTGCCAAGGTCGTGTGGCTAGTAGGTGGCATAGTTGGAAATTGAACCCTAGAGCCCAAGCTTTTCCAACTCTAAAATTCTGTACATCAAAGAATGCCACAAATGAACAGAACACCAGTGTGGGCTTTGTAGAAATGATTCATTTATTTCCAGACTAGAAAGGAATGAAAATGATGAGTACTGTTTCTGAGGTTGACCCAGAATACCCTATATCCTGCTAATTTCTAATGATCTCTGTATTCCTTCTGTTTCTTCCATTTGTGTTTCATTTGTAACGATATTTGTAAATCAGAATGTTTATTTAATCACTGTCTACCTTTTTATGTAACAACTTTCATTATCTTTCTCTTTGTTTTATAACAGGCCATGGTAAGTTATCTAATACAGGAACCTGACATCATAGATTTTGAAATAACATATGCATTGCTTTGCACAAGTTGGGGCTCCTTGGAAGCAGAGTTTTCAAAGTTTTGGGATTTTGTTTTGAGGCCAGCCTTTAAAATAAGTATAAATATTCAAGGCACAGTCAACCGTCAAGTTATTTATGTTAATGGAGGTGCAGAATATCCAATTAATTTATAATTGACTCTGGAACAGAGTCAGAAGTACATCATCAGACATAGTTCCACTGTGTGCACTAACAATCTTAGGTGCATGCCTTCTACAGTCCCAGCTTAGAGCCTCTCTTGACTTGGCTTTGTTGTTAGAAGCCTGGCACCTAGAGGAGAGAAGGAAGCTACAGAATATGTTTAATGATAATTTTTCAAGTTAAGAAGGTATCTATTTTATAAGCACCCATCAAACAGATTTGTATACATAATAGTTCTTTATTTCATGTGGAAATCCAGCAAATATTTTGTAAATTCAAATTCATAAATTGCTGTGGTTAATAGGAGGCAATAAATGAGCTGTACCTCTGGCTATTACACCTATCAGGCTATTTAGTGTTTATTTAGCTGATTCTGGGGGTAGACATTTCCTTGGTTTTTGTAGTAAAGGGTTTGTGTGTATTGTAATTTTCTTTATG